ATAAGTTCATAACAATCAAGTATCCATAGTTTATAATATATATTTTCTCCAACTTATGTAATTGTTTTTATTGGATATGTAAGATACAAGGCCATTTTGACCAGACTTGTTCTCTGGTAAGTCCTACTCTAAATATTGTGTCTCTTCTTGTAAAGTGTTATCGGATTTCAGTATCAATCTCTTGATTTATTTTGTCTATGCTGCTTTGCTGAGGCTAAAACACCTTACATGCACTTCATGTCAATCGGAAGTCAAATGACATAATCCAAGGAAACATGCCACAGCTCTATGATGACGATAAAAGTCTTTACTTGTTCAAACATTTGGAGACATTTGTATCATCATAGAATTACCTTCATATCTCTTAATATGACATGGTTTCATTGTGATAATTATGTTGTAGTTTTCTTATAATTACAGGATGATATTTTATTCATATGAGGTAATAAGTGTGAAAAAACATAGCTATGTTTGTGAGTTAAGGTTTAGTTTATAAGTAGGACAAAATAAAAGTATATAGTTGCAGCCTTACGATAGCACATGTTTCCCAAAAGACATTTAGATTTTGCAGTCATATAGATAAAATATAGTAAAAATAACACAACTTAAGGCAATATTTACTATGTATAGTAGAATTACCATGAAAGCACAAAGTAATATCTTGCTGTAGCACTTACTTAACACAAACACAGCTTTGGGAGAAGCAATTTAGTTTTAAAATGTTAGCTGCATCCATCGCAATGATTTCCTTGACTGTGGCTTTGTGATCACAGCTGGCTGAGTGACTGGGAGCCTGTTTCCCGAGTTCGGAGTCTTTCTTCTCCGTACTTTTCATCAGCTCTTCGCCTCTGGGGCAGTGAAACACCTTTATCCCTCGCAGATGTCTTCTTGATTGTAGAGCTGGAAGAAGTAGTAGACCACAGGATCCAACGCGCTGTGAAAGATAGCGTCAGGCTAATGGGGAATGTACAAATGGCAGTGGTCCCCGTTTTTGTCCAGGGCAGGGCAGACTTGGGATGCGGCGGAGCGGGTATGTCTGGGCTAGCTTCTTGTCCTTGATCCAAATCAGCAAGCTGCCATTACCGTGCTCGGGCAGGCACAAGCAAATGACTGCACCGAGTACTGCGCCACACTGACACCGTCGACTGAAGCCACAGAGCCTTCTAATCTTTGCATGCTGGGCCAACTGTCCTCCCTCTTCAGGTGGCCAATAAATGCGTCATTGTGCAGTAGAAGACCATCCCCACCACAGCCAGTAGGTACGGTAATCAAGAAGACTAAAACCCAAACTTTGCCCAGGTCAGGACTTAGTGGGGTTTTCAAGTCTCAACCACATCGAAGCTCTCGCACAGTGGTGTGCTTGATATGTGTAAGTGAAGACCAGAGCCCGTCCATTGCGAGAATGGTGAAAGCCAGCCACAGCTGCGAAAGAGCCCCCACCACAAAATGGCTTTGGAGCACTCAAAAGAATTGCTGGGCAATGATGGGGACTTCACCAGACGCAATGTCCCTGTCCACAGCCTATAGCATCAAGAAGAATGGTGCTGTCCCTGCTTGCGGTCATTGGCCCAACATGAAGGGCAGCTGTTGCCGAAGGCTCCAAACATCCTTCAACCAAGAGATGTTGTACGCTCTAAGGCACGGAACAGGCCACAAAGCCACGTTGAGCAAGCCAAAATCAGCCACTGCCAGTGAAGAAGTAACACCGCGCTGTCTAACCCACGGCCACTCGCCCCAACTCAGCGGGAGCAAAGAACCACTTCCCCAAGGGGTATCAAAAACAAAACCTTCTGGTGACCAGCCAGTCGGAGGAGCAACGACTCAGAGAGCCATCTCTCAACAACTGGCATTCCGCGCCATGTTCTAGCAGCTCAGTTTTCTGTCTTGCTGGGCTTGCAGACTGAAAGAAATAACCCCTTGAGGGCTGTCTTTATTCTTTAAAAGGATCGTCTAAAAAAAAAAAAAAAGTGGTTGTGGTTTTGGCACTTGCAGGAAGCCTGTGGGTTTGTCTTTTCATATGAATAAACATTAACTATTGCCTAATGATGTTATTTCTTTACATAATATCTGTACTTTTTGTCATGATAGGTAAGAAGGCCCTAATGGAATTGGGTTGGTTATTATTATCAATCAAAATGAATCACATTTTTGAGGTAATTTTGAAGGTCCTCAAAAACTTGGGTCTTGGCACCCATGGAACGTTTCACCAATATGTATGAAAATCAGTCGGCACACATACCCTGTCCAGATATACTAAAAAAAAACCTCTTGTAGCAAAACCCTCAACCTAACAGGAAGTCGGACGTAATGAATTTAGTGCTCATTTTGTGCTATTTCAGGGCTTTGTACTTTAACGAACTCCTTCTACTGTTTTCATTGAACAGCGTGTCCATGGTGTCAAACAGGAACTTGAGTGTACATGGTCAAGTCTGCTCCAAACTGCACATTATAGGTAGGAGTCCTGGCCTGAACACATCAACGTGCCAATATTTAGTCATAATCAAAGTGCTACCTATTGGCAACATTAAATGATTTGTTTTATTCTCCTGACAGGTTGACCAGCTCCATCTCAAATTGGGTTACCAAAGCTTTAAAACCTTATGATGATTTTATATGATGAAACTCATGAGTTGTGTTGGATCGCCGTTGCATAAAGCAGTGCTGTTGAGGTTATATTCAGTTATTTTATTTTGTCACTTTTGCTTGGATTGGTTAACCATCTTAGATTTTAATAGTTATTTTCTGTTCTACATTTTGAGAAATATGCGTATTCACTTCCTTGCTGAGAGTTTGATGAGAAGATTACTGTAAGAAAGACTGTATTTCCCAGAATGTCAAACTATTAATTTTATATTCAGCAAGTAGAACATGATGCCCACGTTCTCTGCCACCACAATGATGCACAGACAACACTGTCATATGTAAGAAAGAAGCACTTTTACCTGCTCTTGCAGTTTTTGCTCACCCATATTATCCATCACATATAAGCAATAGCTGAAAATGTAGCCTGTTTTCAGTTTTCCAGAATCAAAAGCCACGTTGCAGATTTATTCAGCAATTTAGCTAGAATTAATGAACACATGTGCTGCAGTGGTATGAAGTAAACCTTTTGTGAGATGCATCACGATAGTACTGAAATATGTCATTCACAGCCTTCAGAGGAAGACCAGTGGGTGCAGCTGACATTGTGTGAGTAGATCAGTGTCATTATGAAACACCTCTGCTAAGGCAGACACAAATGTAAACATCATCTTAAGGAAACTGGACTATTTAATCTGAACTGCACCCACTGACATTTAAATTACTGAATTTTGCGTATGTAGATTCGTGTTGGTGCAAACATGAATGACTGTGGATAAATTTATAAAATAAAAAATAAAAAATAAATAAGTTTCTGTGAAGGTATGGAAGTATGGACATTAGAAAAGATACACATTTAAAGTTTACAGTCGTACGTATGTAGATGAGGGGATGAGGAAGATGGTCTAAGACAATGATGCCATTTATATTAAAAGTATGCAAACAGTTAAAACCAATGAACTGGTCCCTTCATAAACATTATTAATAGGCTGAGATTGGAGGGAGCTAAAGCTCACAGTTTGTGAACCTCTACTGCTCTCTAGTGGTTAATATTTCAAAATGCTTCTTTTGCCGTATGTTTTGGAGACTGTGTCATCTGAAACATGTTTCCCTTTAAGTGACCAAAAGAGAAGTTGTAGTCATTTTAATTAAAAGTCTCCAAAATAATGATGATAACACCAGGCAACACTATGACAAAATTTTGGTCTGCAATATGATGACAGTTCTTCTTTACTGTTTCGTCATGGAGGCAGTTATTATGTGGTGTATTCAGTTCATATTAAGGTTGTTGCGACACCAGCATCAGAACTTAAGATGTTAAGTGGTAACACTTTATTTTAAGACTGACTGACATGACACATGATATTAACAAGAAGGAGTCTTTATGAAGTGTTGTTATTAAGTGTACAAAAAAGTAGTTTTTCTTGACATTAGCTAAGACAACATAACCATAACATAAACATGTCATAGCAGGCCTAATTATCAAACTTAAAGAATCCATTTGCCCTTGTTACACAGCACAAGCTCACCCACTCTCTGTGCTGACGTATTTAAAGTTTGTGCTTGGGGGACAAACTACAAGAGGGAAATCCTCTCGATAACACGAGGGCTTGGTGGTCATAGTTTTTCAGCCCTTGTTCATGAGTGAAATTATCAATAACATATGATAGAATCAGGTTATTTCAATTTCACCCAGAGGCTTATCAAACACACTAGTGTGCTTAATAGTAATTTTATAAAAAAGAATCAAAAAGCTATATCTACATGCTTTTATAGACTAACCTTTAAATGAATAGCCCAATTATTTTTGTCTATTTGTCACATGAATTACTCGAATTTTGCTCAGAATTGCTGACACACAGTACTTGGTTTATCACTGCAGTGGCCAACAGGTTGAAGACGTAAGTCATAATGAATTTCATTGGTGTTTTTATCCCAAACTAAATTTAGCAAGAGGAATTGGCCATGAGTTCATACTACCAAAGTAGCTGACTGAACAACCTGTCCATGAGTGGGTGGAAATGGGGGGTGGGGTTGAAATATAGCATTCAGGTGTGCTTGACTGCAGCCAGGGAGCCCAGAGAGAGAGACTGAAGATCGCCACGCCCACAAACCGACACAGAGACATGACAGACAAGGGAGACAGGGGAAGGAAGACCATACACAAACCCAGAAGTCAAGGTTGAGACCATGAGTATACAACTGAAACTGAAACTTTTTCACAGCAGTCTGGTAGTCCAACAGTGTTAAGAAATCCTTACACTTAAGGTCCTTTAATTAAAATCTCATTATATGCCACTTTAATCTCTTTCATACACCCAGGTTGCATTTACTGAATGTTTATTTATGAAAAAAGTAGGTGGTGACCTGAATAATAAGTCATATTGTCATCTTTCCTCCTGTCTTTTTGCTGTTTCCAGGCCTCTCTGTCTGTCTGTAACCGTGTTGCCGTCCTTGAAGCAGGTGGAGAAGCTTATGAACACTGGGGAATTGTCTGGAGTTCCCTCACAGGTTAGATGTCAATTTAGGTTAAATGTGTCTTTCCAGTCTTTGCCTCCTTCACTTCACTCAGTGTTTAAACTTAAGCTGATAATTTAACTTCACTCAGGACTCACACTTGAACTGAAACCTGCACTAGTATTATGAGTAGTATTTGCATTTTGACTAATAGTGTCTCAGTATATTTTTAGCTATTTCAAATGTTCAAATGTACTTCTGTACATGTCACCCATGCACTGTATATATAGTATATATTTTGGGCGGGTTGATGGTTTCAGCTGTAGCATCAGTGAAGCTGAGATGGGCCTGATGGTGTGAGGTTGTTAAAGTGAGGCTGTTAAAATGAATTTGCCATAAACTTAAATACAGACAAAAGAGATGTCTAGTGCGTTTAAATACATTTGCAACTTATCATAGCGCATGTCAACTTATTTATTGCATCTTTTATTGCTGTTTCTTTGAGTTTTGATTATATTGTATTGTATTACATGATATTTCAATATTACCTAGATCAGGGAGACTTTACTAGCTTTCATCAGTGAAAATAGAAAGCACCAGAAACTGCTGAAGAACAAACACTTCAAGCATCTGGAGCAGCTCATTGTGTCCAGTGGTCAACCTAACCAGGTGAAAGACTTGATAGACTACTTGATGAGAACTGGTAAGCTTTATATATTTATTTATTAGTTGTTTTTCTTGTTTCTTTTTGATTTTTTTAAGTAAGCAACAACATGCTGGTAAATCATACAAGGATCTATTTGTCTGTAGTAGTTGGCTGCAAAGTGGACGATACATCAAATATATAGAGAAGCCAAATCCAGCAGGAAGAGCATATTGAGACAGTGACACTAATAAACAAGCTACTGTAGATATGTGCACAACAGGTATTGGGCAGTTTTTCTTTGTTTTGGTCATCTTTGCTGTGCTCCTTTCTATATTAAACCCTGCTTTTCCTATTATATGCCCATTTAAGTTTACTAAAGGTTAATGGCTCCTGCCTCACAACAACCCGACAAGTCCATATTTAGTAACCACATTTGAGGAGTACTTATTTGACATACTTATTTTATACTGTTCGCGAATTAACTCACATGATACTTCTGTGAAGCAGATAACCACACTGAGGCCCCTCTGAACTGAACTTTACATATCCTGACTGGCTTGATTCCCACCCACAGAGGAGTATTATCCCAAAAGATACAAGGATATACAGCTCCGTGCATTCTGTCATTGTAGATGAAACTCAACCTTGGTCAGGTTTCTGCTTATATTTGTAAAAAGATGATCAGCAAGTGCATGTGCATTGATGTGGTAGTGGGTGAACCACACGCACATTGAGAAGATGCTTCCTGTTTGATTCAGAGGAGGAACAACAAACCTCATTTGATCCCAGACAGTAGTACATATATGAAGGTCAGAGCCACATTGAATCTGCCAGTCTGAGCCAGCTACTCTTGTAAATTCACTTGAATTTTCATGATTGTGTGGGAGGTTGAGTGGAAAGAGGTTATACTCTTTCTTTTTCAGCCACCATAGTTTCTCCTGCACACTTTGAGTTGGGGGGTTGAAGCAAGAGGGTTGCAATCTACAGCTACATCCCGCTAGAGGCCACTAAATCCTACATACTGGACATTTAAAAACTGCTAATAGTGTTGTCTAATACTTTTATTTCTTAAATGTGCATTAGAGATTTATGATTTATTTTATTTAAGTATTTCTGTATGAATCCGTTATTTACTTGAGGTTTTTAAATGTATGTATATCAGCAGAAATAACTTGTACCAAAGAAAAATAATGTAATTTTTAGGGAACCACAGGGGAGGATGTGTTTGTGGTATTGGTATAATTGGACTACATTTCAGAGAAACCAAACTGTATTTACTATGTAAAAGGGGGCATCTCATCCTCCGAACTGGCTCATTCTGGCTAAATCAAGTTAGTATGTAATGTAAGTACTTTCTTTTTAACCTTGCATTAAAAGGTTTGCTTTTTATAATAAACCAAGTGGTTGTCCTCTACGAAGGATATATATATTCTCAACAAAGCCTTTTTTTATTGGATATATAAGATGCAAAGATATTTTGACCACACTACTGCAAATTTCAACCAGTAATGTGGTTGTGCCATATTACATTACAGTGCCGAAGTATTTCTGCCATGCAGTAATAGGTGTATTTCAATATAAATCCTTGATTTATTTGGTTTATGTAGCTCAATTCTTGTAGTGACTTCTGTGTACTGAGGCTACGTCTAACAGTCTGCATGAACTACATCTTAACTGGAAAAAATAATCCAGGAAAACACAGAAAAACTCTCTGTGATGAGGATAAAAATCTTTATTACTTGTTCAAGCATTGAGGACAAGGAAAACACATTTAGAGGGATTTATTTTTAAATGACTTTTTACCTTTTGAATTACTAATTTTAATTAGAAATCATTATAATCATAGAGCACCCTCATATGGGAAAACAATGACACATTATATTATATTATAATATTCTTATAACAATTATGGTATGTTTCTCCATAATTACTGTTCAGAGTTTAGAGAGTTGAAGTGTAGTTTGGTGTCTGCATAAGCTGGACAAAATATTAAGTAAATATTAAGTCATAGGATTACAATAGCATATGTTTCGCAGAAGAAATATTTAGAAAAGTGCATTCATAAAGAGAAGTAAAAATCACAAAACTTTTGCAAAGGCAATTCATATATATTTTTTAAGTCAAAATATACTGAAAAACTACTGTATAATAGAAGTAAAAACAATACAGTAGCATCTTTAAAATGTTAGCTGCATCCATCGCAATGATTTCCTTGACTGTGGCTTTGTGATCACAGCTGGCTGAGTGACTGGGAAGCACTGTTTCCCGTGTTTTTCTCCGTACTTCTCCATCAGTCTTTGCTTGGGCAGATGAAGCCACTTTCACTGCAGATGTTTCTTGATGTAAGAGCTGGAGAAGTAGATAGACCACAGATCCAGACGCCGCTGTGAGCATAGTCAGGCTAATGGTTGATGTAAAATGCAGGTCAGGTTTTCCAGGGCCAGGGCAGACTTGGGATGCCGGGAGGTTTCTGGCTAGTCATTGGTTCTTGATCCAAATCAGCAGCTGCATTATGGTTGGCTCGGAGATGAAGCAAATGATGAAGAGGCACGCCACTACAGTGATGAAAGCACAGAGGCCTCGTTAATCTTTGCATGCTGCGGCCCAACGTGTCCTCCCTCCTCCAGGTGGCCAATACATGCGTATTGTGCCAGTAAGAGAATCACAAGCAGAGCTATAATGAATGGAAAAGAAAACCCAACTTATGCCAGTTCAATTATGTTGGGGTTCAGTCTCAATATGAAGCTCCCTGCAGGTGGGTTGTGTTGATATGTTGTAAAGTGAAGACATGAGCTGTCATTTAAGATGGTGACAGCCACAGTGCAAGACCCACACATGCTTGGGAGACACTCAAAGAGTTGATGGGATGATGGGGATGCACCACACGCATGTACCTGTCCAGAGCATATGCATCAAAGGAGATGGTACTTCCACTCGCGGTTCATTTGCCAAACATGAAGGAGGCAGATGTTGCAGAGGGTAGCGCCTCCAAACATCACCTTTGATGTCAGAGATGTAGTAAGCTAGCACGAAAGCCAAAGCAACGTTGAGCGAAAATCAGCCATTGCCAGGTTGGAAGAGTAAAACCAGTGCTGCGCTCTTCCAGGGCCTCAGGTGGAAGCAGAAGATCCAGAGAGCAAAACCATTTCCAAGGATTCCCAAAACAAACTCTGTGATCAGTAGTGGAGGGAGCACACTGATCAGCAGAGTCCCATTAAAATTGCATTGCATGTTGAGTTAGGTGTTGTCTTGCTGGCTACAGATCAAAGAAATAAACCCTCAATGACTATCCGCATTCTCTAAGGGGAAACTTAAAAAAAAAAAAAAAAAACTGTGGTTGTGGTTTTGACATATACAGGAAATTCGGGTTCTGCTTTTTTGTGTGAACACAAAATAAGTTATATTTACTGCCCAAAGATGATGATTTTTCAAGAAATCTAATTGAATGTAGTTCTTGTTTCAATTCTAATAGTTATTAACTCTGAGAAACTCTTACTTGCATGTGAGAAAATGCAGCAGCTGCAACAAGCCACAGGACATACTGGTGTTAAACTATCAGCAAAAAATTCTGCGCTCGAAAGCTTAGCTCGTTGTAGCATTGCCAAGGACTACAACTAGGTACCTGCATCATTCTGTGATGATGCATCACATAATAAAAAGACAGACAGATCAGGGTTGAGGGAACAATGAATCAAGCTAATAGGTGACAAAAACCTGACCTACAGTGTGACATTAGACTGGTTTGAAGGTCACAGCACAACAACCTTAAACACAAAAAGACAACACAGTGCTGGAGTGTGAGTGAAGTTTTTTAATTGAGCAGTCTCAATAAGACCAGAGTGGTACCTCCACTGAACATCTGTGGAGACACCTGAACGTCCCAATTCACTTATGTGCTCCATCCAGCCTACAAAGCACTAAAAATAAATTAATAAATGAATTAAAGGTCAGAGTGTAACATTTAGGTTTTGGTATTGTAATGGCCAATAGTGGTCCACAGAAAATGTAGCCTGTTTCCAGACTTCCAGCATTGCAGATTTATTCAGTAATTCAACTAGAATGAATTAAATGAAGCACAATTACTCTTCAGTTTGATTATCAGGCTTGTGAAAACAAAGAACATCACATTCTACAGAAACAAATCTTTCAGACAGCATTGACACATGTGCTACAGAGGTGTTAAGTAAATCTTTTTTGGAGATGCATGACTACTGCAATACCTCATTCACAGCCTTCAGAGAAAGACTGACTGTGTGCAGCTGGTCTTCCTGTGAGAAGATCAGTGTCATTATGAAACAGCACAGCTAAGGCAGATCACAAAATAAAATATCATCTTAATGCAAGTGGATTATTTTATATTAATTGCACTTACTGACATAAATTAGTGAATTAGGTGTGGATGTTGGAAAAAATACAAATACATATATAAAGTTTACAATGGTTATTTATTCTGCTTTAGGTGAGGGAAGTGGGTAAAGTGCGACGGTTTTGAGGACGTGCAGACGAGGGGATGAGCAGGATGTTTTAAGACAAACATATAAGTTGTATTAAAAGTAGCATACATACAGTTTGAATTCAAACCAATTTACTGGTTCCTTCATAAACTTATTTCATAATCAGACAATAGGCTGAAATAGGTTATGAGGACGCTCACAGTTTATGAACCTCTACTGCTATCTAGTGGTTAAAATTTGAAAATGCTTCTTTTGCCATATGTTTTAGAGACTGCGTCATGTGAAGCATCTTTCCCTGAGTCACTTTTGAGTGATCATTCCTCCTAAATTGACCACAAGGGAAGTTGTGGGGTGGTGGTTATTTTAATAATACCAGTCAGTTATGAGATCATAGAGCCATGTGGGGGCAAGTTTCTTATCTCTTTTGTAAGATTTTATAAAAAGCTGTGTGACTAATGCAGACACATATGCTTAGAAGTAGGAGAGCGAGTAAAGAAGTCAGGCTGTAGGAGTGACCATTGTTCGGCATTTAATGAATTAACTTTTTTTTGTGGAGCACCTTCTCATAAAAGCAATTAATAGTGCTTTACAAAGCCATAAAACATGTACAGACAGACAGACAACACATAAAAGCAACTGAGAGGAAAACAAACTTTCCATCTCTACTTTTTGATTACTATCCCTAAGACCTACACAAGAATGCTCTGAACTACTTTCACATGACTTATCAGTGACGATCGTTGCACATGTCAGTGCTGTCACTCCATGGATGTCAGCTGGGCCGTGCCACTTCATCGGCTGGTTGAGAATATGTGTGCAGTGTTACAGTTACAGAACCAGTGTGGAAAAATGTGAAAGAGCCTGTTTGACCTGCAGGGCAAACATGTCCTTTTGTTCCCTTCTCCTGTTGTCCCAACTGCCCTTGTGTTTCCTTCACCTGCATACTTGGGAACAAAACATCATGGTCGCTACTCCACCCGGCGCAACAAACGTGAAATTCCAGTCTTACAACCTTGAGGACAACTGAAATGCAGACAGAGTCTAAAATGTAAAAACAACTGTGTAAGCTTTCTTATTCCAGT